TTGCATCAATTGCTCAGCCAACACCCAAGACCACTACAAGCGTTCAGCTCCCACATTGGAGGCCAGGAAGTCCGTCCTACTCCTTGCGGCCAGATTGAAGGTCGCATTCGAGGATCTTGGTGTCGACATTGTTGACATCAATCAGGGATTTCAAACATGGCTCACGTTTACGGCGTCTTCGTTGATTTCAAATGCATCGTTGACGTATGGGGAGCACTTGATGAAGTCTCTATCGCACATGGGAGGAGTTAGAATTTCGAAGAGGCAAGCTCTGGAAATCTTCCGGAACGGACGCGGCAAGCAATTCAGCATTTACCGCGAAAGAGTTTTTGATGAAGTCGCGAAGAAGTGGCTATTGATCTACAGAGTCACGAAGGATTGCGGAAATGTCGCATACAAAGACTTCTTCGAGAAGGTCGCTGTTCCTGAAGTGAAGGAAAGGAGCGAGATCTTTGGATTCTCCCGTGCATCAGCTGAGAAAACTGGAGATATCATCGAGTTCTGGCTTGGTGTCTTGGATGTGGCAAATATGGCCAAAGGAGTTGTGGATGTTTTCAATGCCAGTGTTGATCCAGCTGAGTACCTTAACGGATTGGAAAAGGCATTGGCTCAATTCACATCGACCTCCAGAACCTCAAGCACCATCAATGACAAGAGACGGGGATCCTTCGACTGCACACTGCAGACCGCAGAAGCCGAAAGGGTCATGAAGATCATCCACGCAATCCCCGGATATGAATCGCTGGCCAATTTCTGCTGCCTCACGGAGTGGGAGAAGGATCAGGTATTCTCTCATTATCGAAGAAAGAACAACATCACAGGGGATGACGCCAGCATGGGCGCTGATGCCGATGCCAAGCCAGGTGACGAGTCGTCGGCTCACCCTGGGGAGGAGGAAGCTGATGAGCCAGCAAATGATCCCACCGATGTGGTCAGGGACTCAGAGATTTCCGGAAAACAACAACTTTTGCATGCGTTGGGAAAACTCTTTACCGTCTCTGAGGATGTCAATGTGTGCTTGTATTGTGGTAGCACCAAACATGGTCATCTTGAATGTGAACATGAGAAGAAGGATGAAGTCAGAAAGGTGCTAAAGGCCGTCCGAGCGTCGCTCGAGGCTGATAGTCCCACCTCTGATGACGTCGATATGGAGCCTCCTGAGCACAAGAAGGACGGTTCAGGTGCTACTGAAGGGTCGGGGCAAACGGATGAACCTACAAAACCGAGGTTTAGTGAACACCAATGGTACGACAGCATCAGGACTATGTCCGAAGTCGGTGACCTCGATGAGTATGGTAGGTTCTGCATCGAAGGACGTGATGTTACAAAGCTGGGACCACAGAACGTTGTTGACCTCAACGAAGTGATCCGAGACGCTATTGTCAGAGGAGGAGGTGACACTTGGTCAGTGCCAGACTTCATGGCAAGCTACTCTGACAACAACATCAGAAAGCCCTTCTACAAGCGAGTCGAGGCGCCGCAAGATGGTTTCTTGAAAATCATCCCTACGACGGGGGCCCATTTCTTCAACTGCTTTTACTTTGGCGGTGTAGAATATGCAGCCAACTACCGCTTCGAAACTGGCAACCGGCTCGACACCTACGAGGACAAGGTGAGTACCTCACTAAACAGGATCCTGCGGCACAACGTGGGGAAGGTATCAGAACAGCAGAGTCTGTTCTGTGATGACGCCGGCTGGGTGCCCATCGAGGAGGTGCTCAAATGTGAGTCCATCTGGAGACACGAGCACGCACGCTGGCCACATGTATTCCTTGCCCCAAAAGGAAGAGCCAATGATCAGAGTGCATGGAATGTCAATGAGGCGAACTACCGCATGACATTGCTCTTCAAGATCATGTTCCACTGTGCCCGGTACGGACGTCGTGTGCGTGAACAAGTCTTGGCATTTGGGATCAACAAGGACATTGATCGCAGCAGCCTGACGTGCATCGACAATAAGGTCGAAGCGGATACGCACATCCCTGATGAAGGTCTACTGCTCTACCCAGTGGCGGTCCGTGCTCCTACGGGGCACAAAGAAGGATCTTCAAGAGACGACGTTTCATTGCTGTCCTCGTTGCTTTCACATCCAATCGCACCCAACACCATTATGTCATTACCGGTCTGTTTTCACATCACCAAGAAGACCAACCTCCGAAGCATTTGGAGGCAGGGATTAATTCCAGGAGGTCTTGGAGAAGGTCATCGGATGTTCACGTTCTTCAACCCGTATGTGCCATGGGATCACAGATCATGGACCATCACGAAGAGCGTTGATACGCGAAAGGGGGACTACATTTGCTTGTTCATCCCGACCGAGACCTTGATGGTGGAATATGGCGGTCGACTGACTGACTCGGGACAGATCGTTTCACCAAAGATCATCCCGTTCTCGGCAATCAAAGGAGGATGGATTCAGGACCCCAAGGACCAATACAACAAGACATGGCTCCGGTTGTTCGTCCCGTCGGGCGACGACCAGGTAGTCCGGTCTGGAACTATCAAATCAAGAACGGTAGCCACCAAGGAGTCCATCCTGAGAGTTGCAAGTCAATGCATCGACGCCGAAGACCAACCGTATGACGAAACCGCCATGGATGCCATGAACATCGTCAACCAGTTCAAGAACAACCTCATCGAGCCTGGCGGACAAGAGCAATACCTGGCCCGCATCAAGCTGATTGACTACATAGTCGAACGCAAAAGGGTGCAAACTTCAGGTTGCCGTCATTGTCCTCACTGTCTCAACGAGACGCCGACAAAGCTAGCAGTGTGTCTAGTTTGCTGGACGGAACTTGAAAGTTGTGGAATTCGTCCATATCGGCTACAGGCTCCTGAAGACGATGAAGATGAGGCCACGAAGAAAGAGCTCGATGAAGAGGTTCGTCGACAAGAAGAATCGTTGTTCAAGGATACGGTCCATCAAGCACAAGAAAACGTATCCGAATCCAACGACTATGGCTTCAATCCTGACGAGGTCGACTACAATGAAGGCGATGATGAGGAAATGGATCAGGAGGAGGAAGCTCAACAGGAAGACGACGAAATCGTTGAAGAAGACGACGATGAAATGGACGTCGAACCTGAAAATGAACCTTCTTCCAAACTTCCAGCATGGACTAAGAATCTTGAGAGCGGCAGCAAGGGTATGCCAGAAGACGGACTTATCAACAATGATGTCTCCGAGGCCGCGGCTCACTTGTACGACAATGCCGTCATGTCAAAGGTCATCGCAATGTTCAGGCTCTACTATAAACAGAGAGTCACTCTGACCCCAGAGGAGTACTATGAGATGATGACGGAAACCAAGCGAGTCCGGCTGGACCTGGATGACTTCTGCCTTTACACAGGAGAAGACCAGGATGGCAACCTCAAGCGACCGACGGAGCTGGAGTTGGACGAACTCTTTCAGGAGAAAGGGAAGAAGAACTCATGGTCAGAAGGAGAGAAGATGTACTCAGGACGACCAAGAAATATGATGATGCCTGTCATCAAGACTTTAGAGGTCTATGAAAAGATGATGGAATTTCTGGTATGCGCCGGGTACACTCCCGAGTCATTAGGTTTCCTCATGCCGATGAACCGAATGCAGGCTGATGCCCAAGGGAAACAGGAGATGAGAGTGACCATCAGCAATTTTCTCCGACGACTGCTTAAAGGAACCTTTCCAGAACACGAATCATACACCTTCTTTCGCTCCGGGAGCCACGGCTTCCCCAACTGCATCGAACTCCCAGCTTTCTCGGTATATCTGAGTCTGAGAGAGAAGGAACAGAGAGTGGAACTACTCTTTGCCGCCCAATAATGTGGCAATCCTTTACCTCAAAACTTTGTCAGCAAGATGGCTTATGCTATTCAACTGGCTGAGGCCGAGGCGCAGAGGGGAAAGACCGAGATGAAAATGAAGATGGCTCCAACCCTTGGCGACGAAGTGGTGAGTGAAGTATTCAAAGCAGTCGGACATAGTGCCGCTTCCAAGTTTGCCACCGCAGACGCGAAAGCCAAATCATCAGCACAACCTTCACAGAAACCTGAAGGCACTGGTTCAGCATCATCCTCATCGGCTAGCGCACCAAAGGCTAAGGCGATGCCGAGATCCCATGAACCATCAAAGGCACTACCTGCGAAACCCTCATCGCCGAAAGCTGCTCCGAAACGTGCGGCAGGATGGGAGAGATCTCCAACAACACCTCAATGGAAGAAAGTCCGCCGTGAGCAGTAAACCAATTACCTCTGTCCGTCAAAATGATCACTGGACTATAGGATGTGTATCGTCTTTGTGAACAGATGATCAGGAAAAGACCAACTGAGTGGACTCTGAGCGAGGCAGTAGAATAATTCGCTTAAGTCCAAGATTTTTGATATTCCCAATCTGCACGAGATTCTGCACAGTGCACGTGAATTCGTTAGTTAGCATTGTAAATCTTTGGTAGCGAAGCGATCCATTTCTCCCGCCGGGTGAGTGGCACGACTAGCCAACGTAGAAAAGTAGATGTTAGCTAGCAATAATTCGGCTGTATAGCTTGATGAAGCGCCGATGCATCGACAGCCATAGAGTAGGCGAACCCGGAACCATTATTCCCGTCGGGTATGTGGGAAAGGGGGAGCCGAATGGCATGTTTTATGTACATAGGCGTAATTCAAGTAGCAGAACCGTCTTAATTCAAAGTTCCCTCTCTCGTGTCCGTGGTCTGAAGATACCACGGGCATGGGGGGTGTTAAAGGGAACGAGATGACACAACATGTACAGCATGCACTGTTAAAACAACATGCTGTGACCGCCAAACATTGGCTCAAGCGTATGGAGAAAAGGGATGCGCCGCGTGACTCCGCATGGCAATCATCGGCTACCAGTAACAAGGGTACTACCAGACTGAGATAACATCCAGGACAAGGATCAAATTGTTCACAATATATATATATGTATGTATATATATATATTTGCACATCATCCCAATTGACATATATAGAAATCATGGCCAGTCATCCCACTATTCAAGGTTCATGGTCAGACCATCTGCAACTGCCATTTGCCAAGCCAGGCGGAGCAGTGGCTGGGGTTACACAACGGTTATTTGTTGCATAGCTATGGAAAAAAAAACGCCGTTTTAATCGGAAAATCATAGGACTAATTGGATATAACGGGGTATAATGTATTTGAATCATATTTTAATCAATATTGGATATAATGGGGTTTCATGGGACTTAATAGTATTTAACAGTATTTATGATGTTATACCTTCCGGTTATTTGTTGCTATGGAACAAACGGGGCTTTAAACAAACTCCTGTGGAAATGGAGGTTTTGTTCGCTGGGAATATCATCGAACTGGATGATCGATTTTCCAGCAAGCCATGGTTGATTACCAGAGGGTATGTGTCGTTGTTTTCCATATTTGTCTTACTGGTGCTTAGCAGGGAATGAGGGAATGATCCACAATAGCTATCAATAATCATCCCAGCAACCCCCATTCCCATCCATTCCCTACGTTTAGCACCAGTAAGTTTTGCCACCATACTTCCACTTTCTTGAATATCAATATTCTCCCTGGTGTTGGCATTGCAATTACCAACATGACTCAGTGTTTTTTTGGGGGAAACTATCATACATATTCCATACATGGAGCATCTGGGATATGTAATAGCAATAGAATATCTAGCGGCCGTTTGGTCAATGCAATACCATCTGTGGATCAAATGTGTTTATCATTAGCTTTACCATATTATGGCCGCATTCCGATCTCAATAGTTTTGAGAGAAACGTTTTACTGCTGTACAAACAGCCCTGCAGTCGCATATTGAGGAACGTTTACATACACTCAATCATTTTAGTGAACAAATTCTGGTCATTCAACAGTTTGCTATGGGAAATCACCATTTTTACCCTCCGGTAAACTAACATAGCTATTGAAAATGGCCATTTATATCCATTTATATTGAGTTTTCCCATTAAACATGGTGATTTTCCATAGTTTTTTGTATGTTTACCAGAGGGTCATAGGGGAAAACATCGAACTTTTTACGGGCCATGACTTCCATGTCTTCCATGGCTTCCCATGGCTTCCAATGGCTTGGGCTTGCGCCTCGCAGGAGGGGCCCAAGCCCAAACAGTCAGAGAAGGTGCGGTGGAGTTTTGTTTCTTTCCCCAATCGATAGGGATATTTTACTTGGGAAAATCAATACTAAAATGTATCAAAATGATAATCCACCAATTTCTTTTTTTTCTACTTGGAGAATCGATAGGGATATTAGAATCTATTCTCGGGGGGTTCCGGATTAGATTTTTCGAAGGACTGAGTGTTGTTTCGATCTCCAGGTTGACAAAACAAGTTAGAGAAAACCCATCTCAGGAAGAATACAATTACCATGCGGGTTCGTCTGAAAATAGACCCAAGATGCGGTGCTTAACACCCAATTTCCTGTTTTTGAAAGGCCATATCTCCCCCATGTATATGAATTGCCAAAAACCCTATGGTTACCCTTCTCTAAACTAAGATAGATGTGGAAAAACCGCACCATTTTTTTTGATCATTTTCCAGATGGAAAATCACTGGGTTTTCAGAAAGGTGTTCCACATCTATGTGAATTTACGATATTTTCCATAAAATATCGCCATTGAACTCCCATAGAAGTTCCGAACTTCATCACCGTTTTCAGACCGGGCCGTAGACGCTGTCGCACTTCCATGAGACAACTTGGCACGTGAGCCACGACTGGTTGGTGGTTCCAAGAACGTTTAAGTGCCATTCATGCGATACAGTAGGATATGAATCCCATCCCCCATGCATATGAAACACAGCCGTAGGTCATAGGTCCCAAGTAAGTGAAAGTCGCCTACTAAACTATGGTTTCTCAGGCATGTGCAATTTCAGGATAGGATTATATGGAGAATATGGAATGGTATAGGCTATATAGGATAATAGTGGGACAACATGGGACAATAATGAATAATTATGGGAGAACTATATATGGGATGATGGCATCCCCAAATGGGGTTTATGAACTTGTGCGTGCCACAAAAACTGGGATGAGAAAAACATCAGCCCCTTTCTGATTGGTTATTTGGGATAGTTTATATTTTAATACCCTTTGATAAACTAACATTTTCTTATGGTTTTATAGATATAGTTCATTGATGTTCATAGGCAATATCATTGAACTATGGGGGTCCAGTTGGCACACAAAGTTAGTTTGTTAAATTTTGTTCATTGCTTCGGGATGTTTCGGGTATTCTTTGTTTTGAAGCCTGGTTTTTCACCCTGGCATGATGATTCCGAATGACGTGAACGGGTATATTTTTGTGGACTTGGGTTTTCCACATTACATGGCTTTGACAAAACCATCAATTCCCATGAAATCCCGTTAAATCCCCATGAAATGCTAATTACCCTTTGGTAAACTAACATAACTATGGAAAATCACAAATTTTCATGGGAAAATTCACTATTTCTATGGCCATTTTCAATAGCTAACTGTTAGTAAAAACCAGGCCGGGTATATCTCATTGAATCCCATGAAATCCCTATTGATGATGGTTAGATCCCATTTTCATCCATTATCCTCCTATTTTGTTGCTTAAATCTCTAACTTTTTTTTGTGGCTACTGATGGTATAGGTCATTTTTTGGAAACCCAATATGTGGTTCAACTACCTTTTTTTTTGGATGGTTTGAATCCCATCCATTTATGGTGATTTCGGGGATGGTTCAATTTTGGGTGTACCATGTTGATGGTTAAATCCTCATTAAAGTCCAATCAAATCACCATATCTTAATAGATTCCCATGTTATTCCCATTTTCTCCCATATTATTATATACCACAATATTACCCTATCTCCCAATATTTTTTCAGGAAACGTATTCTTTCTGACTTTTGGGGAATGCTAAAAACCCTACTGATCTAAAACCCTACTGATCTAGGGCTGGTCTTCGCCATCCTGAATATTCCCATTATTACCGTATTCTTAACATACTAGTTACCTCCCCGGCGGAAAGGCCAGTCCCAGTGTGGACGAGCTCTTGCGCACCGCCGTCAGCGCCACAGCAGAAGCACCCAACCGCGCGGTAAAGCCACTCGGCAAAACGCCAAAGGTCGACAGGGCATGGGGCGTGGTGTTTTTGGGGAAAAACACATGGGAGAACTGAGAAAATCGGAACATCATGTTTTTTTTGTTGGAAAATTGATGTTGAAACATAAATTAAGCACGATATTGAAACATGATGGATTGGAGGTTGACGATTTACCCAACTAGGTGGGCTTGCAATCCCATAGATTTTTGTCAGTTTCAATTTCGATGGTCAGATGACAAGTTGAGGATCTCATTGTGGAGTTTCCACCTAATTGCTTGAAGTGGAACTGTTGTTTTCGTGGGTTCGTTCACCAGTTTGCTGTTTTTTTCTTATCAACGTTTCCTGGTTAATTACTGTATTTCAATGCGAGTCTTATTCTGGTTGGTGGTTTCAAACATTTTTTATTTTCCATTTCATATATGGGATGTCATCCTTCCCAGTGACGAACTCCATTATTTTTCAAGATGGGCACATTGCACCACCAACCAGTATTGGTTGGTTTCTGTTTTCAATTTTTGACAAGTTCCATTTTTGACACCTCCAAGCTTTCACAGGTTTTTCACATCTCATGGGGTACCAGAGACCATCTGATTTCGGAATCGGGCTCAAGCAACGCGAACTGGTTCGCTGCTGAGGGGGTCGTAGCAGTATATCCCACTGTATCCGAAAAAAAACATCGCACTAGATCCACATAACATGGTGACATGGTGGTTGTTTTTTCGTCCTTAATGATCCATCTGAAAAAAATCATCCCATCCTGCGACTAAACAGCTGATTTTTTGTGGTCACAATGAGGTGGGCACTCATCGGTTTCATCCCCTACAAAAGCTGCTAAACCTGGGGAGTCCCGTGTTCCCCGTGTTGAGGAGGCGAGTGCGTCAACGTTTGCACAAGAAGTTGGGGGCTGTTCTCAACAAGGAGGAGCTCCGGCCTCACGGGGCCCCCAGTTTCATGTTGATGATGACAAGGTTACCCTCCGGTACACTAACATAACTATGGAAAATCACCATGTTTAATGGGAAAACTCACTATTTCTATGGCCATTTTCAATAGCTATGTTAGTTTACCGGAGGGTATCAATAAGTTATTATCCCATGGTGAATCCATGTTGATGATATACTAAGCTCTTGTGAAAACTGTTATGAAAATGTTGGTAGATAGATGTAGATAGTATATGTTGGTTGTAAACGGTTATAAGATATTTGGTACCCTCTGGTAATTTAACATAGCTATTGAACATGGTGATTTATAGTGGATTTACCCATTGACATTTTGCATAGTTATGTAAACGGTACCAGAGGGTAATATCACATTATGAGCGTCAAAAAGGACGTGCTGATTTTTCTCACTGGTCCTCTTAGGATCCCGCTGCGAACCGGCCTAGTCGCTGCCAGGCAGCTATTAATGGAGCTTACAGAATGGTGGCCCGAGTTATACCAGTTTTAGGTACTGAAAAAACATCTTATATCCCCATATGGAATGTATAACCATGTATGGAATGTATAGTCCCATTTATGGAATGTATAAGCCCATGTATGGAATGTATAACCCCATGTATGGAATGTATAATCCCATAGAAATAACCAGTTATAACTTATAGATGGCCAAAAAAACGGTACAATCTTCGCCGCCTCAAAGCCTAGGAGTTTGACCGCGCAATGGAGAACTTTCACGTGGCAGTCGAGGCGGAATATCATGGAATATTATATAATGGTTAATAGTGGTTAATAGTGGTTAATAATGGTTAATAATGGTTAATAATGGTTAATAGTGGTTAATAGTGGTTAATAGTGGTTAATAGTGGTTAATAGTGGTTAATAGTGGTTAATAATGGTTAATAATGGTTAATAATGGTTAATAATGGTTAATAATGGTTAATAATGGTTAATAATGGTTAATAATGGTTAATAATGGTTAATAATGTTTAATAATGGTTAATAATGGTTAATAATGGTTAATAATGGTTAATAATGGTTAATAATGGTTAATAATGGTTAATAATGGTTAATAATGGTTGATCCATGGTTACAGTAATGGTTTTATTTTTGGTTAATAATGGTTAATAACCCATAGGATCCATGTATGGTATATATGCTAACATGACTGGGGTATATTGATGGGATCCATGTTACCATATATAGCATACATGGATCCTATGGGTAATGGTTAATAATGGTTGATCATGGTTACAGTAATGGTTTTATTTTTGGTTAATAATGGTTAATAACCCATAGGATCCATGTATGGTATATATGCTAACATGACTGGGGTATATTGATGGGATCCATGTTACCATATATAGCATACATGGATCCTATGGGTAATGGTTAATAATGGTTGATCATGGTTACAGTAATGGTTTTATTTTTGGTTGATAATGGTTAATACTGATTACTGTAATAATGATGAATGAATAATGATGAATAATGGTTCTAAATAATGGTGCATCATGATTTGTTAATCCCATCCCCTGTTCATATTAAACACCCCCCATTGGATGGTTCCAATGGAATATGGAAATTTATCCTAGTTCCAGCGTGGTTTCGTTGAACGGGGCTGTTTAATATGAACGGGGGGAAGGGATTATCTTTCATAAATATCCACACATCATTGAAAGTAAAGACTTATTAAATCCTAAGATATCCTACCCACATATCATTGAGATTATATAAACACTTAAACACTTGTTAAATAGACTAAGATATCCTAAGTTTTGGAACATGGATCCAGTTACCCTTCAGAGTGTTTGAAATGGTTTCCAAGCCAAGGGTCTCTCAATCTTCAGCTTTTGTCCTAATAAATGTACCCGTCAATGGGGACATGAGGAGGATTTCCGTGAGACATGAACACGTTACCCAGCTGCCGCGAACCACTGGGTTAGATTCTGCTGCCAACCAAATGCTATATATATATATATATATATAGGTGTGTCAAGAAAAGCGTATGCCAACAAACTACTTAAATTTCATGCGGAAAACGATGACTAACCACTAAAAAAATGGAGGTACTTGATTGTCAAACAAACCCACATATACTAGCGATCAGGATTTGGTGTTGATTTATATCATGCAAACGTGTGGAATTCAGCAACGAATTGGGGGATAAAATTCCCAGACCCTACAGGAAACTACCAAAGAGATCTACGATGAGTGTTGTTTTTTCAATCCTTTCCATAAGAATACTTTTCCAGACATTTCCATATATGTTCATTGAAAATCATGCCAATTACACCTGTTTTATCTTTTTGGAGTTCCTTTTTGTGGAATTCCAATTGTTTATTCCGCGGCAGATCTCGAAATTTTCTGGTTTTTTCCATAGTTTCGTGGAGGCGATTTTTCGCGGTTTCCAGGCACAACGTTTGCAGCACGAAGAAGAACTTCGCTCACAAAAGCGAGGCCTGAGATTTTGGTGGGTTTCCCATTCGAATTGGCTGCTTGGTGGTGACTGGAACCATGGAATTTTATGACTTTCCATATATTGGGAATAATAATCCCAACTGACGAACTCCATCATTTTTCAGAGGGGTAGGCTCAACCACCAACTAGATGGGATCAAGATGAATCATCGTCCCCATTAGGAATGGCGATGTTTCAGACATTTGCAGTCACTGGAAACTATGACCCAGCTCGGGGCTCGTTCTTGGATGAGATACTTAAATAACACGACTTTGCAGCTCACAAAACCAGAGCCATGATGGTTTCCTGAGTTCCAAAAATGTGATGTAGGGCATCTGAAACCTACCATAGGGTTTCACAACTATGGCCCATATGGCTGTTTTTGCTTGCAACTGGCCAGTTTGAAATGCTGCTCTCATTGACAAGACACCACAAAATCCAGAGGCGATTTTTCGATTCTCATCAACCAGTGCTCAGCCGTGCAGCTCAAGTCATCTCCCTTGTCCTTTCATAAATGTGGGACTGCCAAAGTCTGGATGAAAAGTAATACTGATTGTGTGTGGTTGATGACTGAGGTTCTCCTCCACATACTGATCACTTCGAAAGTTTTGAACCGGGCCCAGCGAAGGTTGTTGATCCGGGGCTTGATATTTGTTCAGGATTATGCCAGCCATGGAGTGTTTTGAAAGATTCCTGCCTCTCTACCCCTATGATTCCGTCCAAGACTTTGCAGTCCTGGCTGGTGTTGTAGAGGTAGAGAGCCAAGAACCGCAAAGAGCTATCAGAAGCCTTCAAGATCAGATTGAAGTGTGTGCGAGATGCAGCGAGTATCTGTGATGTTCAGCTTTCTGGTGCTGGCAAGGCAGGCTCAACTTCTTCTGTAAAGATGTTCTTTGTAGTGCTCGCAGATTGAAATATGGTATCTTGTGCCATCTTTTGCCACTCAAAGATTGCTTCTTGATGAAAATTGCAAAGGCTTGGTGTTGGAGACCAAAGGCACAATCTTGCAGCAAAGATTCAGAAGGGCTACAATGGCGAACAAGTGCCGAAAAAGTGGAGGCTTTCACAGGTTGTTGCATCTCTTCCTCTATGTTTCCGTCCAAGACTTTGCAGTCCTGGCTGGTGTTGTAGAGGTAGAGAGCCAAGAACCGCAAAGAGCTATCAGAAGCCTTCAAGATCAGATTGAAGTGTGTGCGAGATGCAGCGAGTATCTGTGATGTTCAGCTTTCTGGTGCTGGCAAGGCAGGCTCAACTTCTTCTGTAAAGATGTTCTTTGTAGTGCTCGCAGATTGAAATATGGTATCTTGTGCCATCTTTTGCCACTCAAAGATTGCTTCTTGATGAAAGTTGCAAAGGCTTGGTGTTGGAGACCAAAGGCACAATCTTGCAGCAAAGATTCAGAAGGGCTACAATGGCGAACAAGTGCCGAAAAAGCGGAGGCTTTCACAGGTTGTTGCATCTCTTCCTCTATGATTCCGTCCAAGACTTTGCAGTCCTGGCTGGTGTTGTAGAGGTAGAGAGCCAAGAACCGCAAAGAGCTATCAGAAGCCTTCAAGATCAGATTGAAGTGTGTGCGAGATGCAGCGAGTATCTGTGATGTTCAGCTTTCTGGTGCTGGCAAGGCAGGCTCAACTTCTTCTGTAAAGATGTTCTTTGTAGTGCTCGCAGATTGAAATATGGTATCTTGTGCCATCTTTTGCCACTCAAAGATTGCTTCTTGATGAAAGTTGCAAAGGCTTGGTGTTGGAGACCAAAGGCACAATCTTGCAGCAAAGATTCAGAAGGGCTACAATGGCGAACAAGTGCCGAAAAAGCGGAGGCTTTCACAGGTTGTTGCATCTCTTCCTCTATGATTCCGTCCAAGACTTTGCAGTCCTGGCTGGTGTTGTAGAGGTAGAGAGCCAAGAACCGCAAAGAGCTATCAGAAGCCTTCAAGATCAGATTGAAGTGTGTGCGAGATGCAGCGAGTATCTGTGATGTTCAGCTTTCTGGTGCTGGCAAGGCAGGCTCAACTTCTTCTGTAAAGATATTGACATATGGTATCTTTTTGTATCTTTGCCAAGCCTGGCCAGAATTATAGAGTTTGAGAAGCAAGAGCTGCAGGAACTTGGAGCACTTTTTGGACCGCATTCGAATCCGCTAGAACCGGATCAAGCTTTTTCAGGTGCCTTATGTTTGTCATAGCTTGACTTCAAGCTGGGCAGAAGAAAGAGGAGCATGTTACTGGGCGATGCTTCACTCCACAGCGGGGGGTTCATGGTTTTTCAACGATTCGTTAGACCTGATGACCCTAAAATTTGATCCAGCCACTGTAAACATGGATGAGAAGTTATGAAGATTTGTTTGAGGTAATCATAGGTAATCAATGATGTTTTTTTGTGCGTGGGCATGAGTCAAAACAATGCTACACCCTAAAAATCCCTAAAATGTCTTGCAAATTGATGGTCATCTCCCTAAAATAGGGTATATAATGCATGACAGGAATCATTGGCGAACCAATCCCAAAGTGGTCTGAAAAGAGGGGTGCCGGCGCTTCGGATGTTGTACCATTTCCAAACACACCAATATATCATATTGTCGGTTTCAGTATAGTTCTAAAGTTATTTCCTCATATGATATACTGGTTGGTGGTTTGGAACATGTTTATTTTTCCATATATGGGAATAATCATCCCAACTGATGAACTCATATTTTTCAGAGGGAAACCACCAAGCAGTAATGATATAATGGTTGGTTCTTTATACCACTTTATACCCATTATTTTTTTCAGAAATTCTAATGACCTCACTGCGATGTCACTGTAAACTGGGCCCGTTTTTTTGGGTCCCCTTAAATGGCCGAAGCTTCACTTTGGTGAATCATTTTTGTATTAGTATGATTCAACCAGAAAAATAGAAAACATATCCCATATATACAAACTGTTGGTTATGTATATATCCCATTACAATATACTCTCATCAATTGGTAATGATCAACCAACCATCATTTATCCAGAACGGCAAGAATCAATGAATCCTAAATCCTATTCCAAATCCCATGAGAACCCCATTAAAACATATTAAAACCCCAGAGATCATAGATCAGATCCTTGTTGAAACGGTACTTTACCTATTGATTTCCACCTGGATTTTTACATCAAAAAACCATCAGATCCCCCTGGGCCCTGGAGATTTTCGAGGCCAAGCAGCTGCCGGCACCCTACTGGCTGGCACGGTGAATCCGGTGAACCGTGTGGCGGGAGTTTGGGGCACCCGGTATGTGTCCGGAGATCTCCGCCCGGGGGCCGTGTGTCGGAGTTTGACTTCATGGTGATTTCATGGGATTTGAGATGGGAGTTTGATGATTCATGAGACTTTAGATGGAATTTTGATGGTTTATATAAAGGGTTTTTAGTGGGATATCCTGGGATATACAACCAACAATATGATTTTTGGTCTCTATAGCATACCAGCATTTGTTGAAAAGTATGATAAGCCATGCAGTTTGGGATTACACGACATTTTCGGACTAACCCACATGATCACCTTCAAATATGTGGCGATTGAAACTAAACCAATTATTTGTTTGAACTAGAAGAATAAGACCAAAGACCACACATACCCTCCCGTAATGTTGGTTCCTGATTAGTGTGAGGCCCCCCCCCCTCTAAACAATATCTGGACTCTCTTTAAAGTGGAAAGTCAAAAATAATTCTTCCCAAGACAAAAACATATCCTCACTTAAGTAAGGATTTCAATTGGCTACAATTGAAATCTAATTAAAACTGTTTTTTGCGGATGAACTTGTGGTACTTGTAGTACTTGTAGTACTTGTAGTACTTGTAGTACCTGTAGTACTTGTAGTACCTGCAGTATTTTTTTCCAAAAAAAAGCTCTCCCATTTTTTTCGCCACAAAAGTGAACCCTCCAAACAATACATGAGTTGCAGAATAATTTGGAAACAAAATGCCACCTTAGGCGAACCTATAGCTACTAATCAGAGACCGACATTACTCAAACATGGCTGGACAATCCATGGGTTTTCCCATTTACTTCGTTGATTCCCATGGCTTTTCCCATGGGAAAAGCCCATGGCTTTTGAGGCAAAGCCTGGACCAAATGGTCCTGCTCCAGCTTTTGTGGCGGTGCCAGTGGTCATGGTGCGCTGCGTTGAATGAAACGTCCGGATTTGGTCACGGTTCGTCGGGATTTTGTCATGCCATGATGATTTTCCGCATGGTGGGAGATTCCATGGGAAAAGCATGGGAAATCCCTGAACTCGGTGGGATCCTACATTAGTTTGACCTTCTTGAGGGTTGAATAGTCTGAATAGTCTTTTGGTTGGTGGTTTCAAACATTTTTTATTTTCCATAATATATGGGATAATCACGGATAATCCTTCCGATTTACGAATATGTTTCAGAGGGGTTGAAACCACCAACCAGCCTTGTTCATTGGAATTGGCAGAGCTGGCTGTGTATTTGGAGAGCTGACAGCGACCTCATAGGACCTCACCAAGAAGATTGTGGCTATGATTAATTGGTGGAATCATCCGAAACTCTGGAACTTGTCCAAAACATGCAGAGATAGCAATATAGAAAGGTAGAAAGGTAGCCAGGCATTTTTATGTATAGACGTAGTAGATAGGTGCAGACAGATAGATAGACAGATAGATAGGCATAGTAGATAGGTGCAGACAGATAGATAGACAGATAGATAGACAGATAGGTGCAGACAGATAGACAGACAGATAGATAGGCATAGTAGATAGGTCCAGACAGATCGATAGACATAGTAGATAGGTGCAGACAGATAGATAGACAGATAGATAGACATAGTAGATAGGTGCTGCAGACAGATAGATAGACAGATAGATGGACATAGTAGATAGGTGCAGACAGATAGATAGACATATAGATAGACAGATAGGTGCAGACAGATGGATAGACAGATAGATAGACATAGTAGATAGGTGCAGACAGATAGATAGACAGATAGATAGACAGATAGATAGACATAGTAAATAGATGCAGACAGATAGATAGACATAGTAGATAGGGGCAGACAGATAGATAGGCAGATAGATAGACATAGTAGATAGGTGCAGACAGATAGATAGACAGATAGATAGACATAGTAGATAGGATAGGTGCAGACAGATAGATAGACAGATAGATAGACATAGTAGACAGGTGCAGACAGATAGATAGACAGATAGATAGACATAGTAGATAGGTTCAGACAGATGGATAGACAGATAGATAGACATAGTAGACAGGTGCAGACAGATAGATAGACAGATAGATAGACATAGTAGATAGGTGCAGACAGATAGATAGACAGATAGTTAGACATAGTAGATAGGTGCAGACAGATGGATAGACAGATAGATAGACATAGTAGATAGGTGCAGCCAGATAGATAGACAGATAGATAGACATAGTAGATAGGTGCGGACAGATAGATAGACAGATAGATAGACATAGTAGATAGATGCAGACAGATAGATAGACATAGTAGATAGGTGCACACAGGTAGATAGACAGATAGATCGACATAGTAGATAGGTGCAGGCAGATAGATAGGCAGATAGATAGACATAGTAGATAGGAGCAGACAGAGAGATAGACAGATAGATAGACATAGTAAATAGGTGCAGACAGATAGATATACAGATAGATAGACATAGTAGATAGGTGCAGACAGATAGATAGACAGATAGATAGACATAGTAGATAGGTGCAGACAGATAGATACACATATAGATAGACATAGTAGATAGGTGTAGACAGATAGATAGACAGATAGATAGACATAGTAGATAGGTGCAGACAGATAGATAGACAGATAGATAGACATAGTAGATAGGTGCAGACAGATAGATAGACAGATAGATAGACATAGTAGATAGGTGCAGACAGATAGATAGACAGATAGATAGGCATAGTAGATAGGTGCAGACAGATAGATAGACAGATAGATAGACATAGTAGATAGGTGCAGACAGATAGATAGACATATAGATAGACATAGTAGATAGGTCCAGACAGATCGATAGACATAGTAGATAGGTGCAGACAGATAGATAGACAGATAGATAGACATAGTAGATAGGTGCAGACAGATAGATAGACAGATAGATAGACATAGTAGATAGGTGCAGACAGATAGATCGACAGATAGATAGACATAGTAGATAGGTGCAGACAGATAGATAGACAGATAGATAGGCATAGTAGATAGGTGCAGACAGATAGATAGACAGATAGATAGACATAGTAGATAGGTTCAGATAGATAGATAGACAGGTAGACAGACATAGTAGATAGGTGCACACAGATAGATAGACAGATAGATAGGCATAGTAGATAGGTGCAGCCAGATAGATAGACAGATAGATAGACATAGCAGATAGGTGCAGACAGATAGATAGACATAGTAGATAGGTGCAGACAGATAGATAGACAGATAGATAGACATAGTAGACAGGTGCAGACAGATAGATACACCGATAGATAGACATAGTAGATAGGTGCAGACAGATAGACAGACAGATAGATAGACATAGTAGATAGGTGCAGACAGATAGATAGACAGATAGATAGGCATAGTAGATAGGTGCAGACAGATAGATAGACAGATATGTAGACATAGTAGATAGGTGCAGACAGATAGATAGACAGATAGATAGACATAGTAGATAGGTGCAGACAGATAGATAGACAGATAGATAGACATAGTAGATAGGTTCAGACAGATGGATAGACAGATAGATAGACATAGTAGACAGGTGCAGACAGATAGATAGACAGATAGATAGACATAGTAGATAGGTGCAGACAGATAGATAGACAGATAGATAGACATAGTAGATAGGTGCAGACAGATAGATAGACAGATAGATAGACATAGTAGATAGGTGCAGACAGATAGATAGACAGATAGATAGGCATAGTAGATAGGTGCAGGCAGATAGATAGACATAGTAGATAGGTGCAGACAAATAGATAGACAGATAGATAGACATAGTAGATAGGTGCAGACAGGTAGATAGACAGACAGATAGACATAGTAAATAGGTTCAGACAGATAGATAGACAGATATATAGACATAGTAGATAGGCGCACACAGATAGATAGACAGATCGATAGACATAGTAGATAGGTGCAGACAGATAGACAGACAGATAGACATAGTAGATAGGTGCAGACAGATAGATAGACAGATAGACATAGTAGATAGGTTCAGACAGATAGATAGACAGATAGGTGCAGACAGATGGATAGACAGATAGATAGACATAGTAGATAGGTGCAGACAGATAGATAGACAGATAGATAGACATAGTAGATAGGTGCAGACAGATAGATAGACAGATAGATCGACATAGTAGATAGGTGCTGACAGATAGATAGGCAGATAGATAGTCATAGTAGATAGGTGCAGACAGATAGATAGACAGATAGATAGACATAGTAAATAGGTGCAGACAGATAGATAGACATATAGATAGACATAGTAGATAGGTCCAGACAGATCGATAGACATAGTAGATAGGTGCAGACAGATGGATAGACAGATAGATAGACATAGTAGACTGGTGCAGACAGATAGATAGACAGATAGATAGACATAGTAGATAGGTGCAGACAGATAGATAGACAGATAGATAGACATAGTAGATAGGTGCAGACAGATAGATAGACCGATAGATAGACATAGTAGATAGGTGCAGACAGATAGATAGACAGATAGATAGACATAGTAGATAGGTGCAGACAGATAGATAGACAGATAGATCGACATAGTAGATAGGTGCAGACAGATAGATAGACAGATAGATAGACATAGTAGATAGGTGCAGACAGATAGATAGACAGATAGATCGACATAGTAGATAGGTGCAGACAGATAGATAGGCAGATAGATAGGCAGATAGATAGACATAGTAGATAGGTGCAGACAGATAGATAGACAGATAGATCGACATAGCAGATAGGTGCAGACAGATAGATAGACATAGTAGATAGGTGCAGACAGATAGATAGACAGATAGATCGACATAGTAGACAGGTGCAGACAGATAGATAGACCGATAGATAGACATAGTAGATAGGTGCAGACAGATAGATAGGCAGATAGATAGGCAGATAGATAGACATAGTAGATAGGTGCAGACAGATAGATAGACAGATAGATCGACATAGTAGATAGATAGGTGCAGACAGATAGACAGTTGAGCTATCCAAAATGGTAGACATACTCAAATTATGGATTTGTTGTGGCTTAAGCGCTCGAAAAACAAAGGTCAAAGAGTCTCCGTGAACATGTTGCTATGGAATGGTGGATGAAACACTTGACAGCCATATGGTGAATCCAAAGTCATTAATTTGGTCCCAATCATCATATGTAATAATAACCTAATAAACAATAGTAATAAACTATATAACAACAATCATCCAAACTTGAGCTCCTGAAATCAGGTGTATGATTTCTTTTTCAACCTCCAACCATGGCAAATTTGGATGGTCTTGCTGGAAGGGTTACAGACCGTTTTTGTGGCATATTCGTGATCTGGTCATGGAGGTGACAATGTGTTGCAAACCAACCATACTAGTTTATGTAGGCATTTGGGCCTAAGTTGCATTTGGGTATTATATTTTTGCTGCTGTAAGATGTGCCCAAATGTGTTATTGTAAAGACCGGCAGAGACTCGTTGGCGTGATGGCCAATTCTTATTCTACGACGCAGCGAGTAGATTTCGGATGTATTTTATTTAGCAATGAACTGTTTCCTGTACACGGAAGTGCTTGAATTGCTGGATGGGTCCAGGGCAGGCATCAACACAAGACCAGTCTGTGCAAGCTCTAATGATTCACTTGTGTGAATTGAAGAAATGTGTTGGAACGCTACAATGGGCGGAACCCCCGTCAACTTTACGCCAGAAGATTCCAACTAGAATAGGTTGTGAACACAAGGGGTTGAGTTGTATTCACACTAGGCTAGGTGGCTATCGGGTATATGATGGGTTAAATTCAGAACTGTGAGCAATTCCACCCCTTCCCCCGCTTCCGTTTTTTATTTTTCCCGTTTTTTTTTTAATCCAAAATCGCTTTCCGGAAATGCATCTCTTTCCCCCGCTTCCAGCTTTCCAACCGTTGCCCCGCTTCCAGTAAGTACACAGATTCCTCCCGTTGCCCCGCTGGCACCTTTCCTTCCATTGCCCCGCTTATCAACACTTCTGTCAAATGATTCAGATCACCTCCGCTTGCCCCGCTCTCCTGTTGCCACAGACATACTTCGAAACCACCCACAGCCCCGCTTCTATTTGTGGCAAGCAAAAACAACTAGGTTTTCCATCTATTTTTCTGGACTCTGAATGTTTTTTGGATCAGCTGATCCACCTTCCACCTGCTGCCCCGCTTCCACTGTAGCCCCGCTAGTTCGTTCGACCAAAACTGGGAAAAAACACTTCAGAAAATGTGTTGCGGTAAAGCATCAATCCAGAGTGGTTGTTGGTTCCAAATGAGAAGTACAGAATTTGCTAGGTCTAATGGTCTAACTGATGACCTAAGTCAAGTTGTTTTGACATTTGAAACCACCTAATTACCCGGCAGCTTGCATTCACTCTTCAAAGAAAGGGTGTCGGCACGATCTCGTCAATGCCAAAAAAGCCCAGATCAGCCTTATCAAAACATTCTTCCCAGTGACGCCATTTAAAAAACAAACCACATCCCGAATACCAAATTATCTTTTGGACCAATATCGACTTGCTGGCTCGAATTCTTAGTCTACTAGAAAGGAAGCCCTAATTGGTTCATTTGGCAGACTGAATTGCAGCTGCCACTGTTGTTTGCGTTAGGTAGCTTTACTGATGAAGAACTGCACAACTGCCATTCACATGCAAATCCACCCCCAGCCCCGCTTCCACTGTAGCCCCACTAGTTCGTTCGACCAAGCTAGCCACGTTTGATGACAGCGGGGGGGGTAGACCATAGGATATTTCATTGATTATTCATCAATTATCCTATGAATTATCCCATTGTTGTTGGTTAAATTCCCCCATTCATCACCATTTACAGATAATTTCCCATGGTATCCATGATGATTGATATATCCCCATGATATTCCCTTTATATTTCCATTCTTGATAGTTACTTCCCCATTGATCACCGCCAGCCTGGTTGGTTACCAGGTACCCACTAACGGGCAGCCTGGCAGGCGAAATTTCTGGGGCGCTAGATGCAGATGTGAAAACGTCTATTTGTTTATGACAGGATTGCCAGGGGATTACAAAGGGGGCTCCCCTAGAGTTGGCTAAGTTGGTAACTCCAATAACTAGGGTTTATGACACTTGTATCTATAACGGGTTTTGGGGGTGATAAACCCGTTGTAACTGGCATTAGTACCGCCCTGCCAGGGATTATCATCATCCATGAACTGGGAATTTCGTTGATGTAGATGTCCTGAAAAGCCCGGTAAGGGCATAAGGCCATAAAAAAATAGTATTCATTTTCCAAACAGGAAAACCATCATTCAGTAAATCTACAGGTTTTTCAATTTGTAGACGGGGGACCCTGAAGAAAATCCAAACTTTACTTTGATTTGGTGATTATGTTGATAGAGTCTGATAGAGGAGTAACTGCCCAATGAACAACAGGTGGATGATGGTAAATGGTCTGCCAAGACGACATTATTTCAATAAAAGGACATGCTTGCATCATCAACCTGCCCGAAATTTGCAATTCCTCAAACCTGTTCAACTGGGCGAAACCTGCATCAACGAAGCCTGCTTGATCATGGCTAGAATTCAGTAAAGGTGTGTCAATATCCCTAGAGGCCCTGCAGACTCCCAAGTCATTGCAACTCACTGATCATACCCGGCTATGAATCCACAAGTTATAACCTTCACGGCTATGAAACAACATGTGTTGATCATATCCAGAAGGCACATCCCATTGGTTCACTTCTGAATCATGTTTGTCAATATGTTCACATTTGTTGATTAAAGCACACATGTTTTATGGTTTTATCTTGTTTAATGTACATGCTGTTGGTGAAATCCGCCTTTTATTATTGTTCACATCTCTGTTTTAGTTGGGTATAGAACCCATTTTGAGGTTGAAATGAAACCTCCATTTTGCTCCATTGCCTATCTTGCTTACATTGTCCTTCTTGCTGGTAAATCCACTTTGAAACTTTGGTCCCTTACCGTGTGAAATTCCAAGATTAACAGGTTGAACTTCCATTTCTGAACAGATTTCCTGGCTGAAACTAGGCCCAGTCTGAGCCTTCAATGTAGATTTATGCATGTCCCAAACATTGTCTAACATTGTTAATGTGGTAAACTTTAGCATAATAAACCTCAAATTAAATAGGGCCAGTTGCAACCTATTTCTGGTTCATTATCGGGGGATGGTTTATGGTCTTGAATTTACCGCATTACCCAATGTTCATACACACCCAAACATCATATGATTGTTGTATCTCCCTCTTGTATCCCCAAAAACATGGTAACATGTTTTTCTGAAGCAATTGTCTAATAATCAAATGTCTAATGTGTCTAAATTCTACATCTTTCCTATATTTTCCTCTTAAGTGATGCTTAAATCTCTCAGATTTCGCCATGGTATTTTGGATGGCGCATCTTTTTGTTCCCCGGGCCCCTCTCCAGGGCCATGCCAATGCCCTGCGGAAACCTCCCGCAGTCGGTGCAGCCGCCGAATGGATGGAACATGCCCGGGGCGGTACTCTGTGCAGTGCAGGCGGCGATAAATATGGGGATCTGGGATCTGGATGGGGATAGAGGTATCATGAGGAGAGATATGATGGGGATAGACTGGGGACCTAATACTGTAGCGATTGGGGATAGAATGAGGTTTGTTGTGAGGCTGTTTTTGGACTGGAGATAGAAAAAAGGGATCTAAATGGGACTATAAGAGGGATAGAATGGGGATATCATCAATAAATATCAATAAGATGTGCAACCAACTGGGTACAGTATGTCTGACAATGGTTCGTATCTCCCCCAATTGGCAGTTCTAATGGGGAAAAAAAACAAAATGGGCCATGGGGTACCCCATTTTCAGACACCCGTATGGGTTTCAGACCAAGAACATGGTGTAAGAGGGTAAACCATCAACTTTGATGGATGTCTTTGGGTATATATGTATATATAGGCTCGTCCAGGCTTCTGGAACTACATACGATGGGGTAAAGGGGTGGGGTGGGATGTCAACGTTCATGTGAACTTGCGGCAGGATGTTAACGTTCATGTGAACTTGCGGCAGCAGTTGATGCTACGCACACGCGGGGGGGGGGGGGTGGGGTGGGATGTTAACGTTCATGTGAACTTGCGGCTCGATGTTAACATTCATGTGAACTTGCGGCAGCAGTTGATGCTACGCACACGCGGGGGTGGGGGGGGGGGGGGATGTTAACGTTCATGTGAACTTGCAGGCAGGATGTTAACGTTCATGTGAATGTTAACGTTCTGCGGCAGCAGTGAACTTGCGGCAGGTGTTAAGTTATGTGAACTTGCGGCAGCAGTTGATGCACGCACACGGGGGGGGGGGGGGTGGGGTGGGATGTTAACGTTCATGTGAACTTGCGGCAGGATGTTAACGTTCATGTGAACTTGCGGCAGCAGTTGATGCTAAGCACACGCGGGGGTGGGGGGGGGTGGGATGTTAACGTTCATGTGAACTTGCGGCAGGATGTTAACGTTCATGTGAACTTGCGGAGCAGTTGATGCTACGCACACGCGGGGTGGGGGGGGGTGGGGTGGGATGTTAACGTTCATGTGAACTTGCGGCTCGGATGTTAACGTTCATGTGAACTTGCGGCAGCAGTTGATGCTACGCACACGCGGGGTGGGGGGGTGGGGTGGGATGTTAACGTTCATGTGAACGTTGTCGGCATGTGAACTTGCGGCAGCAGTTGAGCTCGCACACGCGGGGTGGGGGGGGTGGGGTGGGATGTCAACGTTCATGTGAACTTGCGGCTCGATGTTAACATTCATGTGAACTTGCGGCAGCAGTTGATGATGATGTGATGATGATGATGATGATGATGATGATGAATGACCCTAATGAAACTTGTTAATTCCGCGACGAAATTTCGTCACGGAATGGACAAGTTTTACCAACCTAGTTCAGGTTTAGGTACTTCCACAACCCTCTGCACGAGGCTATATATACGTATATATATATATATTAGCATTTTTTAAAGTCTCGTAAAAGGTGTTTTTAAAGCTTCTAGGCAAAAGGTGAACGTAGGGGGTACGAGTGCAGATGAACGTGGTGACGGACGTGCGTACGACCCAGCGTACGTGTAAGCGTGCGAGTGGACGGACGCGTGGCGTACGAGTGGACGGACGTGTGCACACGAGTGGACGGACGTGTGAGCGTACGTACGTGCGTTGACACGTTCACTCGTCACGTGCGCTCGCACGTACGAAAATAAGGTCGACTCGAGTCGGCCTTATTTCTGTACGTCTCGGTTTTTCCTTACATATTTAGTATTGGGAAGATTCAGACGTACAGAAATAAGGCCGACTCGAGTCGACCTTCTTTTCGTACGTGCGAGCGCACGTGACGAGTGAACGTGTCAACGCACGTACGTACGCTCACACGTCCGTCCACTCGTACGCACTCGTCCGTCCACTCGTACGCCACGCGTCCGTCCACTCGCACGCTTACACGTACGCTGGGTCGTACGCACGTCCGTCACCACGTTCATCTGCACTCGTCACCAGACGTACGCTCTCCAAGATCACTACCTTTTACGAGACTTTAAAAAAAGCTAATATATATATATATATACGATTATATACGTATATATATATATATATAGTTGGTGGTTTGGAGCAATTTTTATTTTTTCCATATATTGGGAATCAGGTGAACAACTGACTCATATTTTTCAGAGGGGTTGAAGCCACCAACCAAATATGTATATATATATATGTGTCTGGGAAAGAGGAGGTTCATCAACTTTTATAGAAGCTTAAGATGGAAGATGTAGATCATATGTGATCAGATTGAATGGCTATATGCTATACCCTCTGGTAAACATACGAAAAAAAGATGGAAAATCACCATTTTTAACGGGTAAATCAACTATTTATTTCTATGGCCATTTCCAATAGCTATGATAATTACCAGAGGGTATATATATATATACATATGTTCTGAGACATGAGCTGGTTCGTAAGCAATTTCAACTGGTACATGGGTATGGAAAAAATATTGTGAGACCATACTGGCCAACCAAACCCTATCATTAACGGATAAATGATGGTTCAGGATACAATGATTATCCCAGAATGGAGGAACTTATCCAGGTCCGGAATGGAATTTGCCTCCAAAAAAACTACCTAAGAATGCCATTGCGTTTGTTTTGTCATTCCCACTAGCTTTGTGGCATTGGTTTTGCAACATTCATATCTGACATTTTTTTGTTTTTTTTTATTCCGGAAGACACTTGGATGTTGAAAACTGGGGAAGCACCAGGTGGTCGGAAGCGGAAGCTGGTTGTGGATGGTTGGAGTGGCCGCAAATGAACGTGAGTAGACTTGAGTAGACTGTGAAGATGCAACGAAATACAGGTTTGAATGGGAAATTCCCGAACGAAATAGAGGTTTGTATGGGAAATTCCTGAACTAAATAGAGGTTTGTATGGGAAGATCATCTACAAAATTCGATAAAGGGGAGATTGTCCATTTCCATGTTTGGCTACTGGCAATTACTGGAGGGTAATTTGGTTTGCAACATCAAACAATTGCTTGGATGTGCCTTCCGGAAAAAAGAATACCCATGGTTTCATGCTTTGGACCTGGGTTGCAATGGATGGCAATCCCCATCACTGGAATTGTACACGGCATAGTCTTATGTAATCTAATATAAATAAATATAGCTGGATGTATAGTATATGCACACACACACACACTATATATAGACGTATATGTGTGTATATATACATATGTATCTATAAACGTATGTTTATGTATATATAATAATTACAATATACATGTTTCTCTATATATACATATATACATATGTATAACACATATTTACATATACTTATGTATAATATATATATACATAATCATATATATATATATATCTATGTAATATATATATATATACATGTATATATATATATATGTATATACCCTCGGGGACCCAGGTTCTCCGATGACCGCGCACCGTTTGTTGCTCCGCTGCAGATGATCACGTTGTATCATGCTCCGCGACAGGGCAGGGTGGGGTGGGGGTGGGGTGGGGTGGGGTGGGGTGTATTATCGTTCGTGGAATGTTGATCACGTTGTTGATGCTCCGCTGCAGATGATCACGTTTATCATGCTCCGCGACAGGGCGGGGTGGGGGGGGTGGGGTATTATCGTTCGTGGAATGTTGATCACGTTGTTGATGCTCCGCTGCAGATGATCACGTTGTATCATGCTCCGCGACAGGGCGGGGTGGGGTGGGGTGGGGGGTATTATCGTTCGTGGAATGTTGATCACGTTGTTGATGCTCCGCTGCAGATGATCACGTTGTATCATGCTCCGCGACAGGGCAGGGTGGGGTGGGGGGTGGGGTGGGGTGGGGTGTATTATCTTTCGTGGAATGTTGATCACGTTGTTGATGCTCCGCTGCAGATGATCATTAACAATATCATTGTTCATATCATAAATTACCACAAAAAAACCTCGTCATGAGCACAGATGTCGAAACAAACACAATATCTTGAATCCATATGGGAAATACCATGTAAAATTCACCACACATGAGTTTCGATTGGGAAAATACAATGAAAACACATGCACGAAAGATAAAAAAAACATGCTGACTGTCAGGGTTCCTCACTTTCAAGCAACATTCAAATGTAGTGCAAATACCATGTAAAATAAGGCTACCTTTATCTTGCTTGTGAAAACACAGGGTAAAATGAGATGTTTCAACATATGTTGCATACCATCGCAACGTATCTGTGCTGTATTTATGAGGGGATTTACAACTATACCCTCCTAACCCATATCAAGTAAATCACAACTTTGTAAGCGCTCAAAACGGACGAGATTTTTTTCCTCCGTTTTGACGCCCAATTCCACATAACAATGCTTCATGTCAAAATGCTAGTTTCGCTATGGCGAAACGCACATTTTTCACATGTTTGATCATCAACACCTATCATCTATCGGAGAACCTAGGGCCCCATCCGTATATATATATATATATCTTATGCATACGTATACGTATACGTATGCACATACATATACATACACATACAACACATACACACATACACACATACACACATACACACATACACACATACACACACATAGACACATACACACACATAGACACATACACATACATAGACACATACATACATACATACATGCATGCATACATACATACATACATGCATGCATACATACATACATACATACATGCATGTATATACATGTGGATATACGAAGAAAGAAGGCTGACCATTTATACTTTATTTCAGTTTCCCTTGATTGGATCGTCCATGGATCATCCGTCAGGATGTGAAGCAAGTGCAAGAACGCGTCCGCATTTCGCAGATGCCCGTGAAGACCGGCCCAATTCCACAGAAGGCGCAGATGTGTGGCTTTGAGATAAAGGACCCAAGTTTCTTTTTAAAGAAATGGTCATGTTGAATGGAAAAAACCAATGGTGAAACGGGGAATCCAATGAACTTTTTGGGTACCTCAAACATTGGATACAGCTCTGAATTGTAGCCACTTTCTTGAGGGGAACATGTGACAATACTTGACAATTGTGCCTCTTTATCCAGCCAATGTCCACCCCAAACCTATCTGGGGTGTTGGGAGAAAGCACCTGGCAAGCCGATGATTTTGGGGTAAAAAAACAGTTTTGTGCCCCAATTGGATGTGCATCAGGCATCGTAGCCCAGTCGTATGACTGGAATCAGAAGAAAGTGTATAAATAATGTGTTATATAATATGTATATGTATATATATATATACACACTATATATATAAATATATATATATGGGTTGTCAACAACGTGATAAATGGGACGGACATCCAAGTACTTTGGGCCCTGGTGTGGAAAAAACATAAGCTCACCATAAGTCACCATAGAACGATCAACTGTTTCGCATAGTGGTCTCCATTCCAGATCATCAGGTTTAACATCAATATTTTCGTCTTCACTGTCACTATATAAGCAGGGTGACATAGGATGACTAGCTGAAACGCGCGGCGCCAGAAAAAAACACCCCATTCTGACACATCTGTGGGACTTCAACATCAATCCCCATGGTTCAAAGATCCCCTTTCTTCACTACTTCAAATCCCTTTTCGTGGGTGACCTTGGATGACTTTCAATCTCTATTTGGGTTTTTTTATTAAAAAGGGGCGATTTTGATGGGTATGGCATGAACATAGAATGTTATAATCACCAGTTGGGAAATGGGTGCAGTTGAGATGTGGGCCCCCCCAAAAACCATAAGTTGAGACATGGGGCCCGGAATTTCTCCCGCAAACACTATAAGTTGAGATATGAGGCACCTAAACACCAGGAGTTGGGATATGGGGCACATAGACACCATGAGTTGGGAAGTGGGGTCCCTACAAGTATGGTGAGATATTTCTATATATCTACTTAGTTCGCTGGAACTGCACTGGCAAGTTCTGCTTCCTTGTCCAGGCAGGACCTGTTGGCATTAATTTTTGCGGTCAGCCCAATGGCTTCTATGCAGCTCCACAGGCCGAGACAGGTAAATCTGGGGTACGTTACAGTGGGATTTAACCATCAAAATTAAGAGGACACATGGAGTTTTATGCGTGATTCATAATGAGATTTGTAAGTAGGTTGACTATTGACTACATGGTAGACTCATATCTATGTCGAACTATGTCGAACTAGTTCATGCGGTTCGTTTAACCAGCAGACATCGGGGCCACCTGGAACATTGGACGGTTTCCATCAAGATTGCGGATTTTAACATCAACCGCAATAAGATTTTTCAACAGATATGGGGATAGAGATCAAGCAGGTGATTTTGCCACGCAATGGGCAATAAGAGGACAAAACTTTAGGGCCTTGAGAACCACTGGTTTGGGGTTATGTTGCTGCGAAGAGCAGATTTAGCTCATTCTTGCTCGGAAACCATCCCTTTCTCGTAACACTTTTGTCTTCACTTGATTCTTGGAATATGACTAAGATTGAAGCCAATTTTGTGGATTTTTGGGGATGTTTTGCTGAACTTTAAACTTGGTTGGGACCTCACTCTATCTCGAGTTATCTCGCAACCAGCGATGGCATATCAAATCCAATGTTTGCATTTGCATATCTTATCTCCCTCTATATGTATATATATATATTTTTTGTGTTTGTAGTACAAGTATGTGTACAAATAAGCCAGTCATGCTGGGACAGCCCTGAAGTCCACATGGAATCCCCAAAAATGCCAGTATCCAATAGGAAAATCCTGTTCCCTTACGGGATGGGGCCCCCAACATAGCGTTCAGTTGCCTTACAAGTGGCTGAATTCTATAGTTTATGGATGTTTACGGTAGATATAACTACAGTATTCATGGGGTTTATAATGGTTTATAAACCAACATTCACATCACTGGGGGGCACCATCCCCTATGTTTTTTCAGGTGCAGGGGGCGGAAGAGTCGGACAGCGACAAGTCCATTGGACAGGGCGTGAAATTTCAACGTGCCTTGGAAGCCTTGGACCGGATGTCACGAGGTTTTTCGGAACGTTGGGATTGGGGGGTTGGGATTGAGCTGGGAGGTTTAGGCCTCTGAAAATTTTGAGGAAACTGAAGTGAGTTCGGTCCCTGATGAAAATCTGAAAGATCCACACACCAAACTACAAGATCAGTGATTATCAGTGATATATGATGATATATGTAATATCTTCAGTTCTATACTCCGGTGTCATCACCTCCACTATGGGCTGGGATTTTTTGCCTAGGCAAGGGAGGTTTGTATAGTTCGCTGGGGAAATTCTCGAACAGCTGCTGGATTGTCTAGCAAATCATGTTCTTTATATTTCTTGTTTTAGGTCACCGGAGAGTACATGAAGTAATGATATTGTCATGCATAGAATTCCGATGTATTCCGGCCAGGGGAATTGAATCATATTTAGATCCCAAAACCGCGACGAACGGGTGCCTTTTATGAATAGATCAAATACTGAATAGCTAGATTTCTAGGGGCATTCAATACTTTGGGGAATCAATATAAATAAATATGTGATATAATACAATAATATGCTACCTTTATATATTTGTAATTTTGTGTATATGCAATTACATGTTATGGCTTGACATGGTGTTTGTGCTTATCCGAGATGATGCTCCCGGCTGTCATATTTTTCTGCTCAACCAGCAATCGGTTATAATGTTTTCCCAATGCTGTGAAACAGGCCGAATAGCAAGAGTGGTGATCAAATGGTTATAAATTATAAGTATGTGCAAGTGCTTACAAGCAGTCACACGGTTATACATGCTATTAAATGAAGTAATAACAGTAACAATTATATATATATAGATATCCATCAAGCTGGGCCCCAGTTGGTTCAGGTCCTAGGTCAACTATGGTTTATTTCAAGTAGATATAACTATAATATAACTATAATATATATATATAATATTTATTTTATTTATATATATATATATAGTTATTATATATATAAATATTACGTATAATGTATATAGATAGATAGATAGATAGATGAGATGAGATGAGATGAGATGAGATGAGATGAGATGAGATGAGATGAGATGAGATGAGATGAGATGAGATGAGATTAGATAGATGGATGGATGGATAGATAGATAGATAGATACATAGATTAATATATATATATATATATATTTATTGATAGATAAATAGATTAATATATATATATGTGTGTAAATATAGATTTATATTATCGAAGGAAATTTAGAAGTCAAACTTCCGACAATGTGGACAGATGGAAAAGCAGAGGTGGGAAGAGTCAGAGAAGAGAAGAAGAAAGAAGATCAGAGAAGAGAAAGAGTCAGAGGGAAGAAGATGCAGGTGCGCGAAAAGGTAGAAAAGTCGCGATTCACAGTGTTTTCCAATGATTTGTGGCTCCGGAGGGTCGAAAAGTAGGCTCGCTAAAGCGGCGTGTGCGGAGCCATCTGGCCAGATGAGAACGTTCTGCGGCGCGAAGCACATTTGGAAGTCAAAATGTACAAAAAACCTCAGGTTCGGAACGCTTTTGGAAGTGGAGATGTCGAAAAAGTGCATGCTGTTGTGGCGCGAAGCACATTTCCAAGTCAAAATGTACAAAACACACCATGGTCGGACCACTTTTGAAGTTTCAGATGTGGTTTTGCGTGGCAGGCGCAAGAGATTCCGCACCTTGCTAAAAGTGAGCAGAACGTGAGGGTTTTGTAGCATTTCCAAAAACGATGGCAGGTGTGGGACCTGTCCAGATACATTTTGCGTGGCAGGCGCAGTACAAGTCAGATCTTCAGGTTTGCTAAAATGATTTTGCGTGGCAGGTGCAGTACTTTAGACAGATGGAGTGGAAAAAATGCAAAACGCATCGGTAGGAGGCCGTCAGCTCTGCACTCAACTTTCCATTTCTGAAGGATGTCTCGCAGAATTGCTTCGTTTTTGGTGTTGTCAGATAGACAGATAGATAGATAGATAGATAGATAGACAGGTAGGTAGGTAGGTAAGTAGGTAGGTAGAAAGATAGATATATAGATAGATTAGATTAGATTAGATTAGATTAGATTAGATCAGATAGATAGATAAATAGATAGATAGATAGATAGATAGATAGGTAGATAGGTAGTTAGTTGGTTTGGTAGTTAGGTAGATAGATAGATAGATGGATAGATAGATAGATGGATAGACAAGTACAACTGCAACTGCAACTACAATTACAACTGCACTACACTACCACTACCACGCCAAGTACACATATTTTTTACAAATAAACCACGCTACCTTACACTAATTACACTACACTACACTAATTACACTAATTACATTAATTACGCATTACACTAATTACACTACAACTGCGACTACAACTGCTACAGCTACAACTACAACTACACTACATTACACTACACTAATTACATTACGCCAAACTTCACTAGACTACAACTACAACTACTGCCACACTACATTACACAACACTACTCTACCCTAATTACACTACACTACACTAACTACAACTGCAGCTACATCTACAACTACACTTCACTAGGCTACACTACGCTAGACTACACTACAGAACGCAACACTACAGCACACCATACTACACTACATTACATTACACTACACTCAGTACACCACACCACAGCTACAACTACACTACGCTAGTTACACTACACTACAGCTACAACTCCACTACACTACAGGTGCAGCTACAGCTGCACTACATCACACTACACCCAGCAATTGTGGGTGAGGTGACCACTGCAACCATTTGCAACCACTCCAAAAAACACAACTCCAACCACCTTTCGGTCCATCAGTGTCTTCGCTCTGCCATCCATGCATCACAACAACTCACCCCTCCCATAGTGTCCTATCTTTGAACCTTCCGCCACCGCTTTGTGCGGTACTACTGGCTTATACTTATATATATACATATATATACATATATTTTTTTATACATATATATAAATATATATATATATATATAGTGGGGCTTGAAAAACAACTTATATTCGGCAACCCAGTGCATTGGCCTTTGTGAACTCTAAACCCATGCTGAGGTGCTCGATCTGAAGGCGACCGGCACACCAACGCTGGGGATGGGTCAATCTTGGATGGGTAGTTCAATCCTTTAGTCTCTGGGTATCAATGGGTTTATCTACTAACCAGCTAAGAATTTAATTTGTTGCAGGGTATCCACGGGTATCTAAGATTGCCCATGTATTTTCATACATGAACCAACCATTCTAGGCTACCTATGGCCACCTAGGCTGCCAGGGTTTCGACCCACCATGACTCAGCCCAGTTTTTTTTTGTGCAGGTGAGGTGCCAGGAGAGAGTTTGGCACTCAGGGGAATCCAGTGGTGAGGTGCCAGGGTTTCCTGAAGTTTGGTAAACATCCGAACGGTTCCTGAAGTCAGTAAATGACTCGTGTCATCACAATACTGTATATGGTTGGCATTAGCAGCACTTGACATTTGGTTCTAGAATGGCTTAACCACCAGGAAGGGTTTTGGAATGGGAACTGTCAAGTGGCAGAAAATTACCATCTACGACGCTTGGAAACTGGCTACGGCCCTTTAAGACTTTCCTATGAAACCCTTAATCACAAACCGATTGCCCTCTGGTAATCAAACATGGCCATGGGACATCCTCCATTTGTCGATAAATTTCCTATTCAAATGCCAATTTTTAGGGGATTTCTCATTGCCATGTTGTATCACAAGTCAATTGGATCTGCCGAGCATGTGCTGACTTCCAGTTTCATGCCAGGGTGGGGATGTTGCAGGGGTCCATACTGAATTGTAGTTTTTTTTGAAACATCACCATCTTAGATGACATGATCGTGAAAAAGTGTTGGTCGAGGTTCCCAAAAGAAGTGTTTTGTTCATGCGTAGGCCGAAGGTTCTCTAAATTTAGAGAGACTCTTCGGAGACATAACCCGCAACATGGGGATATATATATATATAATTCCAACCACGATATTGGAATATCAAACCCACAATATGAGATTTGCCAGCGCACCGTTGTATTTTTCATTCGCATCTGGACAAATAAGACGATATCTGAACCCCGATAAAATTGGCAATTTTCCATAGCAAACTGCTACAATACCAGAGGGTAGACACAAGTTCCAAGAAACGGGATGGGTTGGTCCAATGCAGCAAAAACCTGAAAATGTTTTTAAAAAAAGTAGGGGAAGACCATGATAAACCATGATGTTTTTTTTGGTTTACCCAATTTTCAGACAACCCCTGTAGCTTGTAACTTCCCAATACTAATACAATTTACATCCATTTACATTTAGAATTTGATGAGAACATCCGACAGAGAGAAAAAAACGATGTTGGTGTACCTTTAAGACAACTCTAAGCCGCTCCCGCTCCGTTCTTTCACTGCTTTTTCACGTCAGATTTGCCTGTGGAACGTACTTTCATCCAGTGACTCGGCGCACCAAAAAATGGCGGTTTCATGGGATAGTCATGGGGATATCATGAGATAGTAACCACCAAACTTAAATATCCAGTAGGTCAGTAGGTGGTTTTTCCCAGTTACTCAGTTCCTGAGCTAATAAGATATAAGATCGTTCAACTCCAGCAGTTAACGAAATTAACTAGGATTTATGCATGTTTAGTGTATACTTTGGTTCATGGGGGTGAGACCAGTTTGGGGTGAGACTGGGGCACCGTTTTTCAGTTCACAGTTTTCATGCAGGTTTAATTCAACCAGAAAAACATGTCACGGTGGGGCACCACCTAGGTATGAATGTTTAGCACCCTATTCTGCTTTGACCGTCAAATTTTGCGGTGCGAAGGTAGCTGTCAAATCTGTCGCAGGTCACCATGGATCTTTGAAAATCCTTATTGTGTGAGTCACACTACCTGGTTTATTGGGGATGGCATATATAATCCATACCGGATACCTATTCGTCCACCGGTGGCCTGAGAGATAAGATGAGATAAGGGTATGTGTCATGGCAACGAGAAGGTCAACCAACAAATACGGGGATGTAACCAACAAACATAGGATATAAATATCACCAGTGATACCGGAAAAACGTGGGAATACTTCGTCTTCTGCAGCTTTTGAATCCCGTTTCTAACATCAAGCTGAGATGACCATCGCAAGTATTGCAAGTGACAAATCTTGTGGGTGAGACCTCACATCTTTACTGCTCTAAGCACTTTGTGAGACTGTCTTTCGGGTTGGCTTCTGGGCTCTAAACACCTTCTCAGATGGTATTTGGAGAACAAAAAAACATTGTCAAAGTGTGTGATCCCACATTACTTGCATCCCAATACATGCTAATTGATTGATGGTGTACTAGTAGCATAGATTTCCATCAAGTTTGATAAAACATTCACTCGGTGTTCTTCATACCCCCGATCACATGTGAACTATGTATCGTAAAACCATGTATTAAACAAAAAACACCCAAAAATAGAAAGGTCAAAGGAGTCAAAGGAAACGATTTTCGTTCTAATTCCAATTTTATCCCTGCTTGGCCAGGTTTAGCAGTGGTGGAGACAGCTCCAAACGCTCCAGGTGTGGAACATGGATTTCATCGGATTTCAGCATGCGAAATTGGGATGGTCATGGAACCATTGGATGTCACCTGCAAAATTGGGATCTTCACCGGCTTAACCTCAAATTTGAGCAATGAACGTGGGGATTTCTAGCAAAACGTTTGAAACCAAGCAAAGAATCGGATTTAAGCAGCACACATTGGATTGGCTACGACATGGAATTTACTGATTTATCTTACATTTCCGCCTTTTTTGCGGATTTCACCCAAGTATCATGACATGAAATCTTAGCCAACCCGCAAATTGAGATTGTCACCTACCAACAGTCTGAACCTTAGTTCATGATACTTGCATATACCTCCCAGTTTCTGGGAGTTAAAGATCACTTGAAATGGTAGTTTCATGTAGTTTCATAGTGGTTGGACCGTTGGATCGTCTGGCGCGAAAATTTCCAGGTCTTAGTGGGTACCTATTTTCCTAGGAACTTGGAGGAACAACAATGGGATCAGAGATTCAAAGATATATGCCATTTGATATTACATACTATACATTACGTTACTATATGTACTATTTCTGTAGAACAACTGTATATATATATATTTATAAATATAGTATGATTCACTATAATGTGTGTATATGTGTGTATACTACTAATGTGTTTGTAATATATACATACACATTGTAGTATGATTCAGAGTAATTTTCATCTCTTTCCACCGGGGATGAGGATAGCAATGATGGTTTCGCTTACCCTCTGGTTCTTTAACATGGCCATGGAAAATCACTATTTTTTATCCTTTGTTTCATACTGTTCCATAGCTATGTTAAATAACCTTCATGATCTTCATGTTCCTTCATGTTTCATCCCTGTGATGATGATCCCAACTATTCCCGAAGGAGATGGTTCCAGGGGTGAAATCATCCATTTGTTGTTTTTTCCCCAAACAGTGTGTCCACACTGATAGGTTCTTACGGTAGCTGTAAAGGCCGGTGCTTGATCAGGGTGCTCACTCTGGTCTGCGGCCTTTTACGTGTAAATTTCCGTGTAAAGTGGCTCTTGTGAAATGTTGACGTGCATTTCGATTGCGCAGGCTCGCACAAAGTGTGGTCCTTGGGATCGGTCCTTGGGATCGGTCCTCCTCCTCAACATCATCATGCTCAACATCAAATCCTCAACATCATCATCTTCCTCCCCCTTCACATCATCATCCTCAACGTCATCCTCCTCCACCTCATCTTCCGCAACATTCTCATCCTTTTCCTCATCCTCCTCAACATCATTATCTTCCTCCTTCTCAACATCATCATCCTCCACCTTGTCCTCCTCCACTTCATCTTCCGCATTATCATCCTCCACCTCATCGTCCTCAACATCCTCATACTCACCCTCAGCCTCATCCTCAACATCATCACCCTTAATATCATCATCATCATCATCATCGTCATCATCATCACCATCACCATCACCATCGTAGTTCTCAGCATGATCATCCTCCACCTTATCATCCTCCACTTCCTCTTCCGCATTGTCATCCTCATCCTCATCCTCATCCTCATCCTCCTCAACATCATCATCCTCAACATTATCACCATCAACCGCATCATCCTCAACATCATCATCCTCACCATCACCACCCTCAACCTCATTGTCCTCAACATCATCCTCCTCAACATCATCATCCTCAACCTCACCATCCTCTACATCATCGTCCCCCTTCGTTATCATCATCTTCATCATCATCTTCATCATCATGGTCGTCGCCGTCGTCATCATCATCATCATCATCATCATCTTTATCAAGATTATCATACATTATCCTCCTACTCCCCCCGCACTGTTTGAGGTCTCTTGCCGGGATAGTTGTTCTGCAGCCTTCTGATTTTCCAGAAAGAGCCTGGAGGTTTGTAGTTTTCGCGTCCGCCAGGTCTCAATGAATTTCGCAAACAAGAAGTGCCTAACGCGAATTGAATTTTAAAGCAGCTGCTGCATGCATGTGCCAAGTCTGCCAAACCCTTCCTATTTCGATTGAACACCGATTCCTGAAGTACTGTAAAGGAGATATTGTGCAATCAACAGTACTTGGGGTGTGGCAGACTTGAAAGCCATTGTTTCAAGGTTCTTGACTGTACAGTGCAGGGTATGTTCCTGAAGGACTTGCCTTGACCCTGGGCCACGTTCCGGGCAAGGCGCCTTCAACCATGCAAAGTTTATGCAATCAAGAGCCCCGTGGCGAACAATCGGGAAATGGGGCGATAATCCATGATGATCCTACATTTTCTAGGTGAATTAGTTGGAACACCAGCAGGAAACTTTCATATTTGGAGGTTAAAAACAATGGTTTCTTGATGTTTCCTGTAGATTTTTCTCTTGAAACCATTGAGATGAGGGTGCGGACCTTTTCGTCAGAGAGTGACTTTTTCATCTAATCTAGAGATGCTGCACCTTCATGGTTCTTCATCAATCTCAATTTCTCTGCCCTCTTTCCTGACGCTTGTCCCGGAAAGGATGCGCCTTGTCGCGTGCTGACTGCAGCAGCGACACGAAAAATGCGCGCGAGATGACCACTCTGCGCGCACATTGCGCAGAGCAGAGCTGACAGCCTTGAAATAAGGATGCCGATTTGAGACAGCTACCCAAAGATGTATACATATAATCATATATATATATTTATTTATAATGTATTTACATATCATATAATATAATATAATATATATATATATTATAGATTTATATAGATAGGTATATTATATTGATTATATAGTTTTTTGGTGTGTGTAGTGTCGTGAAATATTTGATTTCTTTTTAATATAATATGATATGATATAATATAATATGATTTAATTTAATACAATATAATTTAGTTCAATTTAATTTAGTTTAATATACTATAGCATTTAATACTTCAAATAAGTTAATAAAGTTTTGGAAAATACAACATAATAAAATACAATACAACATAAAGTCATATGTTCTCATTTAATAAGACATAATGTAATATATTCCAACATGATATTTAATGTAATTTCATATGGTATCATTGATGTTTAATAGACTATTTTTTGTAGTATGTATGATTTAAATTACAAAAAACAATTTCATATCATTTAACATGGTGTACGATGGTTTAACTTAACATCATATAATAGAATAGGATGGAATACAATTTAATATACAATACAAAATATAATATGATTTAATATGTTTCAATGTATATATATATATTATACAAGTTTTTTTGCATAAATAAAACACATACTATTTTTTTGATTAAAATGTAATCGAAAATATCAGTTGATATTTTCATAGTAAATTTCTCATTTGATATCTAAGATTATATACGTAATATTCTTTAATATCCAAGAAACTTTGCAATATTTAATTTACACATAATCTATGATATATATATATATGTTTTTTTTTAATCACTCATAATTTAATCTAATACAATTAATATCTTAAATTACATAATATTTTAGCATTACATATGGTATACTATTTTATCATATCATTTGAAATAACCTAGTAGTAGCATAATACACTAAAATACAATACAAACTAATATAATTAAATCAAATACAATATGCTCTGGTAACATATCATATCATATATAGCATAATCCAGTATAATATGATATAATTTCATTTAGTTTAATATGACATGATGTAATATAAATAAATCTATAATAATATAAATAAATAAATGCATATACATAAATAAATGCATATATATATATATATCATATATATATAATCTTTATAATCCTCAGTATCGCCCAATGCCTTTTTTCATGTTTTTTTCCAACATGGGTCAAGTTGTAGGGCCGTGTCTCTGGGATGAATCCTCCAGGGTGTTTCCATATGAAAATGACCATTCGGGGGGCCCTACACCATTTTCAGACATTATAGAATGGGCTAGCGATAAAAACAGGATGGATCGACTCAAACATATCCTTTCTGTAAATTATATGTGTATATATATATATATATGTATTTATTTTTATATATATATATATATAAATTCATCCCTATGGATCCGGCCGTAACTTCTTAGGAAGTCTGACTGGGATATGATTTGTGGGGTGTCTTGTGCCTTCTCAGGAGGTGTTTGGATCCATAGGGATTAATATCTTCATGGGGCCACCATAATATCACCATATGATTATATAAAAGACATAATATCACCATAATATCACCATAATACGGTGGATGGAAGAAATCCTGCACCAGTTGATAGGTGGTTTATCCCATTATTTATAGGGTTTCCACCATCCAAGGTGATGCAGGATTTCTTCCATCCACAGTATCACCATAATATCACCATAATATCACCATAATATCACCATAATATCACCATAATATCACCATAATATAATATGACACAACCAAAGAAAACACGACTGTCATCAGTTTTCGGCAACTTGGACAATGACCGATCCGCATCCGACGATCCAAAGGTTTCCACTTCCGTTTCCGTTCCCATCACAGGGATTGGAGTGGGACGGTAACCAAGAATTAATAGTGGTTAATAATGGTTGATAATGGTTATAACCGGTAATAATAATTGTAATAATTGTTTGGTAATGATTGAATAATGGAATAATAACTGAATAATTGTTATAAATAATGGTGAATAATGATTTGTTAATCCCATCGCCCCATCCCCTTTTTTTTGAAACAACCCCGACAAAAGGTCCCATTTTTCGGGGAATTTCATATGGATGACTTTACTTGATTTATATAATTTCCTCCATTCATGCCCTGTTAATGGTGCTCCTTAAAATCAATATAGCTTTCTGGGCTTTCAGACGCAACTGCATGCGTGGTCCTTTCAAAGGGCCATGGAACAGTCAAGGAAAGTCCAAGACGCTGTGCAGGCCTTAGGCACTGTGCCAGGCACATTGCCAATTGTAAGATTGAATCCCCTCGGCATATTGCAACCAGATGCAAGTGCAAGGTTATCCCAGTGCACTCTCTGAAGCAATCCTGTTGCTTGCTTAAGGCAAACTATGTGTTTGAATCAATTGCCAGTGGTTTAGTTCATAGAAGCTCATACTGTTTAAATCAAGTGTCAATTAATTATTCAAACACATTTAGTTTACTGTTATTGATGTTGTTCCTAAACATCTTTGAGCTGAAGTCAGCTCAAGAAATCCTGGGACTTGCTCCAAATTGTCCTGGGATCACGTTACGGGCTCAACCACCTAGTGTTTGCAAGGGATCCTCGAGCACATCGTATAGACCCATATTAAACAATGGTGAATAATACAGATGAAGTTTTCTTAAAATGGGGGATCTCCAAAACCATGGGTTTCAATACTAGAATCGTCTGATTTTGGATGATTTGCAGAAGCCTTAAGCTACCCCCCCATTTTAGTAGACCTCCAAATCTTTTTGTTGATGAATGGGGGCCATTGCCTAAGTATGCCATATATGAATCATCGATGCCTCATTATCTAAAATATTAGATTCTCCTCAAGTCATCTTTATATGGACCATGGCCCGTTTGTGGATGAATTTGCCTATTCAATATTGTGACTTTCAATAGCTCTCTGAAAGTAACTTGAATTACAATGGGCAAATGGCCGCTGAAAATCGAACCGTTTTGTGTGACACAACCTGCGATCGTCATGGACTCTCTTTGTGCGCCTGATGGCCAGAATTTTCTAAACGCCCAGCGGTTGCAGCCGCCATTTTTGGAAGACGGTGCTGAGATGAGCGACGGGGAAAGGGTGATGGTTGGCAGGTTGGGGGGAACACCCAAAGCTGGAAGCCAAATGACCCCAGAGGTTTAGCTCTGCTGGGTCATTTGGGTTCCAGGATGAATTGATTTTTGGAGATGAAAATTGTAGCTCATCTCTAGCTCAACTTGGGGCATGGGCTCCCAACTGTTGATGGCCCAGTTGTGGATATGGTTCTCCGTCGTGAAGACGACATCTCCACATGTTTGAAGGCACCTTTTTTCGTAATTTGTGCATCTGTAGAGGGCAAATGCTGCCACGTGTCATCAAAGGGACTGGGCTCCAGATGGCTGACTTTCAGCTTGCATCAGCTTCCATCAGTCAGCTTGTTCATTTTTCATGGCTTGTTCCCCTAGTGGTATTCGGTCATATTCGGTCAACCCTCTACTATGAACTTCCGAAAACCTAATTTTAGTTTTGATGAATGAAAACAAAAACTACAAGCATCTACAAACCAACTGCTGGTTAGTTCTTAGTTGGGTCACCAGTCATCTATAGCGCGAAGAGGATGGTGGTAGAGAAATCTCGGACTCCAGGATCAAGCTTGGTGGATGGTAGGTTAGTCATGATTTGACAATGAATTGTCATTGTGATAGGAACATCGAGTACCTAGACCCTCAACTCACCAAGGCAAATTGGTGATTACACATTTTTTATGAACATGTTTTTTTTTGTTGGTCGACTGAGGGTCAAGGATCCAGCAAAAATCGGGAAACTTTGTTGACAGATATCTCATTGCATGGACTATTCTTCATGTATAGAGCATTCAGCCATCGAAAGCCCTGATACCTTGGTTACCTTCAGCCGAACTGGGCGTCAAAAGACCGCTACTGCCAGCCAGCTGGATATGATCATATCGATTACTGTATATAAAGTTCGTTGTAAGTTTTCTGCGGATTCCCATACAATCCCCCAAGAAATATATGTGGGGAATGGATGTGCGGTTTCAGACATTTGTTCTGTTTGTTCCTCCCCTACCTGAAATGATGAGCTCAGTTCTTTTTTGGGGGATGGGTTGTTGAAACCAACTAATATCACTATAAACAGGTGGTAACAATCATCCCCAAATGGTAGGTTTGTTATTGGGTTACCCAAAATTAATTGTTGATTGGCAGAAGATGATCAGAACAAAAGGTGAAGCGTTGAAATGAATGATGGACATCCCCCGCTATTCAATACCCAAGATCCAGGGGAGTGATCACATGTGACTGCGGTTTCGACTGCTGTTTCTGACCTTAAAATGATCTGTGCTTCAAAACCCAAGTGATTTGATTTCCGCC